ATATAGTTATACAATTTTCATGTCAAATCACACATGGAATAACCCTTTATAAAATCCAGTTACGAGATGCGTTTGAGCAAACCAATGCACAACTGATCTGTAAACTAGGAACTATATGTCTTTGTTTTAAGAATAGAAAATATTATCGTCTTAGAATTACTTGTGATTAAAATCCACGAAGTAATCTCTAAGTGTGGGTTTATCTACTTAAATCCTTATTTCCAAGTACTCATGAACATTGTAGTAATCTGTATACAATGTCCAATCCTTATGGACAATCTACAACTCGATTCATGACAGTCTTAAATCACTACTTACTTCCAAAAGTATGAGCGACTGTGGAATTTTGAATTATATTTAAATTACTCGGTGAAGTAAAACATGCAAAGTGAAACACAATAATAAATTAATTGACTATGGTACTATACCTATTGATTATAAAAAATCACTATTATTAAATCACCAGAACAATTACGAATTTATTCATTGTATATAATGTTTCGAGTATCAATTAACCACTTGAATTAGATAACATCAGTCATGACATGTTCTGATGATGCATACTATGCCACTCGATGGTCCTTTCAATACGTGATAAAAATATCGCCTGAAAGCTTTCCTAATTCCTTTCCATTCATCACAATTCAAAATATGAAAATGGATGTCGTAATCATATTGCGAATTTGAGAATGCAATTAACACAACCAATATCCATATTGATCTTTATCAAATACTTAAAATCTACTAGCAAAAGTGTTTCCTCATAACCATTTTCATGAATTAGGGTGAAACCTTTTCCACTTAGATTCAAAGGTGCATACGTTACTATCCATGTGTATCTTTCATTTCTAACCTTCAGTTATAAGACAAGGTTTAGGATAAACAAAATTCAAATTTAGTATTCCTTCTTGGATTGAACTTTGCTATTTTTAATTTCTTGCCATGTGGCAGCTCAACGCCCACCAGTGCTTCCATATTGTTAGCAGCTCACCCATATTGATCAGTGTACTTTCACTGACCAACGTGCTTTGCTTTTGTAGTTAAATGAAGAACATAGAACTCATAAGCGTTGTCAGCTCAACTGGAAGTGCATAGAGATATGAATATGTCAATTAAAACACAAAATTTTATCAACTTCAGGTCGCGTGCTAGTGATAACTAAAAGGATCATTGTTGTTTGACTCTTGCAAGATCAAAATCAACATGACTTCTACTGACTTCTTAACATGTGAGTTTTCTCACAAGGAACATTCATTGACGAGCTAAAACAAGAATTCAAAAGGTCATGTGGATTCCCGACAAGAAAACACTTCATAGAATATGACTCAGTTTATCTTTTGTTATTCAATCAATGAAATCATCAAAACTCCAATTCTAAATGTGCTAGAGTAAGGAAAACATTATTACTCCACATTATACGAGGTGTTGCCATCATTCTTAATTGAAAAATAGTTTCAAGATACGATTCATAGTTACTAGAGTATGACTCTAAAGCTTGATTGGAACAAAGTATGACTCGTTTTATCATTGAAATATTTCCAACAATGTTCGATTCCTCTTCTTAGTCATACAATTACACTATTATGTTCTTGGAGGATTAATTGTGATACAATTCCACAATTACTAAGATGATCATAAAACATGATACTAAAGCACTCTCCTTTCTTTTTCAGATTGTAGAATCTTTTATCATTCTGCTTAATTGATTCTTCTATTCGTTTTGCTACTCTTTGAATCTTTTCAAACTATCAGAATTCTATTTAGTCTTATAAACACAATCATATTCACTGAAACATCAATAAATCATGACGAACAAAGTTATCGTCCCTTGTGGTGGATCTGAAGAGTCCATATCAACATATACTATATCCATTAGCCCTTCACCTGCCTCACATAAGCATGTGAAAAAATGTAAGTCATAGTTTTCCAATGAACAAGTTTCTCATATATTATACAATTCAACTTGTACAACACCATGTATCTGTCTAGTTGGTGATGAGATTTCTTTTCACCGACTCAATTATGAAAATACCATAAGTGATACCATAGGAATCAAATCCACAATTAATATTGCTATTATTAGAAACATAACGAACACTTTCATTAAATGTCATTGCAAGGAAATAAGATAAGGCAACTATGTAAACCAAAATTCCGCTTTTATTGAAATAAATGAAAATTTGGAACTTGTCCTTACAATGCATGAAATGAAAAACTATATTTCTAAACATCTCAGAAGAGTAATAGCAATCTATTAAATTATCCTAACTCCCTATTAGTAGCTCAAACTTCTTACCATCGAACCATACAACAAGAGTCCATCTCTCACGATCAGATTTAGCTCACTTGGACTAAGCTTCCTTCTTTCTTTTAGATCCTGCGATACCATCAAAATGTGATCATCAAATCATGTATTAAGAGTCTATGAATAGGAATTATTGAGTTAAATAATGGATGTACCTGAAGTAGAGTCATACAAATTGACCTTACCATCTTCAAGATCTTTTAGGTAGTTTGGGCAGCTTTGCTTCTGATGTCCCTTCAATTAGCAGTAGAAACAAATGGACTCATTGGGTGATCTAAGAATGAGCCTTTCTCCTTACCATACGATCAAACAGTTTGAACTTGGCTGATCGCTTTCGATTGGGAATAGAAATCTTTTATTGATCGACAATGTCACCATTGTCAATGTCCATGGAAACCTTGGGATTAGACCCTATAATCATTTTGGCTTTAGTTGTGTTCTTAAGCGTTTCTGCTTCAGCAACCATCAACATATATGTCATATCAATTAGGGTTACATCGAGATTCCTCATATGAAATTTCTTAAAGAACTGATCCGATTTTGGATCTAAGGGGTTACATATATAGTATAGGATTCCAAGAGTCACTTGTAAACCCTAATCCACTCACATAGGATTTTGATCCTATATCATTTTCATGGACTCCATATAAACTTAGTCCATTACTAGTCAATCATTGATCATTAGCCCAGACTATATGTATCATTGATTTACGTAATCAGCCCCTGTTAATTTAATTAGTCTCTTTTGATCACTAAATTAATTCGAAATTAATTCTTCATCAATACTAATTAAATAATATGATTTCTCAATTAATATATTATTCTTATAATATATTAATACATCACAAATAACCACTTTCTCAAATATCCTTCATATCAAATTGCTCCGGTGAATGCAACCCAAAATGGACCATGCTACTATCGGGTCAAGTACATACCAATTATAGTTATGAGCTTAGACACCTAATCCAACAGTCTCCCACTTGGATAAGTCTAATAACTACAACTGCAGGTACGACTTCAAAAACCGACTAGCAATCGTAGCTCTCAAAAGCCGTTGTCGAACTCTGACGCGTCCATTAGATAAGGGATCAAATAATCCCCCATTATACAAGATATCGTATGAACTGAGACATGGATTATAATCATTCTCTCTTTTCATGTGTTGTTTCCCGATTTCCGATTTATGACGACTGACTAATTGAACAAATCAAATTAGTCTAGGCTTGGACAAGCACTTAGGGTATCATCACTAAATCATCGAGGGGCCCACAAATATCGCTTTTATCCCTCATTGGGTAAAAGGAACGAATAAACTTCGACTCATATGCTTGCTCTATTTACTCATCAAATCACACACAACAATATGGTTAATAATACCAAGTTACTGGTGCGTTTACACATCAACTACAACTCACATGTCTTAGTTTCAAGAATATAAGATATTATCGTCTCACAATCTTATTACAGGAGTACTCATGAACACTGCAGCACACTTGTGCTATGTCTAAACACTTAGACAATCTACAGTCGGATCCATGACAGTCTTACCTCATTAATTACTTCCAAAGTATGATTGACTGTGGATGTTTGAATAACCTAGTTATTCAGGAAGTAAAACATGCAAAGTGAAACACAAGAATAATCGAATCCAATATGGTTTCAAAGCTTTTGAATATAAACAAAACACTTATTTAATCACCATATTGATTACATATTATTCATTGTATAATGTTTCGATTAATCAACTTAATACTTGAATTAAAACAATAGTCATCCCATGCTCCAAGCATGCACACTATGTTTATCTATGATCCTTACTTTGTGAAATAAATCAATTGTAAACATTTCCAATGATACTCATTTCACAATTCCAAATCCTTATCAAAATTCTTGCCACTGCTAGAATGTGTTAGATTCTAAACTGTCATGCAATGATCCTTTTGTAATGTCAATGCACCAAAGTCACAGAGACTTGGATAATGATATTACAAAGTACTCTACTGGAGATTGTTACAAGACAATTCCACAGATACGAAGTCTCTCATTCGAAGTACATTCCTTTGAACATCCTTCTTGCATCAAAGTTTCTAACTTACACAGATTCTTAATATCCAACTCCCATTATGGATAAATTTCCATATTTGCCATATGACAATGAATCTTATCTATTCATAATAATGTCAATATGGTCCATCCATTACTATACTTCCAAATGTCTATAAGCAACCAATCTTTGGCGAATCTTAGATCACTACAAGAAAAAGACCCTTTTACGACCCGCAAACCACAACACTCATTGATTTATGTTACGCAAAAGAGAGTGACATTAAAAAAGTGTCATCTCTTCAAAAAATTTAAGGATTTAGGTCACGCATTATTGCGTGCCCTTAAATTAGTGTCTCATGTAAAAAAAAAAAAAACACGGAGGGCACTTTATCTAAAATGTGCGTCCTCTGTGAATGTCGTTTTATATTTTTTTTAAGAAACGCGCGTCTCCTTAGGAAAATGAAATCCCCAAATTTTTTAAACCCCCGCCTTCTTCTCCCTCGTCTCCACCCCTCAGGCCCTCACCCAAATCCATCGCCTCCAATCCTCGTTGCCTCTTCTAGCCTCAGATTGCGGCGATGCACCTTCCTTCTCGAAGAACGCTTCATTTACCACCATCGTCCAATTATGTGAGCCCAAGGAATTGATGGAGACGAATAAGATTATGGATCAATCGCTTCACATCATGTTTAAGGTTAAGGGTTTGAGATTTCTTCCAAATCGATCCTCACACTAAATGGTTCGACGACTGTAACTCCTTTCGATTGTAGCGCCGATCAACAACTACGACTCAGCAATCGTCAATCGAAGCTACCAGTTGAACAACCCCTAATCGACACCTCCACCTTCTCGTCTCTCCTTCTCCACCAGGTGTTCTCTCATCTCTATCCTCCAACATATGAAGATTTACGAAGATGTGCAGGGGTAACCGAAGGAAACCCTAAATCCTTCTCGCAGTCAACCACTACAACCCTAAATCTCTCTTCTTTACTGATGGATTGTCCAGATGATTGGCAATAACTTATTCCCTTTCTTTATAACAATAACTTTTTAGAATTGGTAAATGATTTTTTCATGCTTCCACTTGTTTATGGCAATAGATTTAGGTTTCGATGCCCTGAATAACAGTGGAAAAACTCTTTCTTGGAACAGGTGGTTTATATCAATGGACGACCATTTGTTTTGCGCGAGGTCGAGAGACCCTTCTCCAATCTTGAATACACGGTGTGTGCTTATTTTTTCTGCTCAAATCCCAACTTCCACTTCAGATTTACAGTATTTTGCTATATTTTTTTGTTGATAAACATGCTGATTTATCCCATTCTATATCTAAACTTTGATGTTATGAATAGGGTATCAATAGGGCTAGGGTGGAGCAAATGGAAGACCGGTTGAAGGAAGACATATTGCTAGAAGCTGCAAGGTATTCTTTTTAACATGTTTCTGTGTTTGATACCCATTTTTCTTATCATCTCAATACCCATCTCGATTACAGATATGGAAATAAGATCCTAGTAACTGATGAACTACCAGATGGTCAAATCAAATGGTGGATTAATGGGAGCCAGTCACACCAACTCTGTCAAAACATCACTACAGGTTCACCATACTATGAAATTAAATGTTCATTTTGAATATCTATTTCATAATTCCTTTCACTATTGTAGGTCTATTTAGAACTCCAAACAAGAAAATTCCTTGTTGACTACGAACGCAATCCAGTAACAGATGAAAATCACCCAAGGAACATGATTTTGATACGTTGGTGAGTGCTATTTTCATTTTACAAAATGAAAATATTTAACCTAGATTATACTTTATATATGATTTGTGTTTTATGATCTTTATAGGTTGATAGAATTTCAAGAGCTGATCTCAAGACAGAAATAATCTTTAATTGCCAAATGGGGCGTGGGCGTACTACCACAGGGATGGTCATGGCCACATTGATCTATTTCAACCGAATAAGAGCGAATAAGAGCTTCTGGTACTTTTTTTTTCTCTGTGAAGTTTATGTTTTATGATTGCATGCTTTTACAATATCTTATTATTAGGTATCCCAAGAACAAATTCAATTGGAACAATTTCTGTTTGTGGCTCAAATGCTACTGACAACATGCTAAACACAGAAGATGCTCTTCTTAGAGGGGAATATACTATCATAAGAAGCTTAATCCGTGTCTTAGAGGTATGCAAATGAACCTTTTTCCTTATAAATTTCCCATTACAACAACATTCTTGAGTAACTTCTTTTTGATTAACATGGTTTTAGGGCGGTGTTGAAGGCAAACGACAGGTGGACAAAGTGATTGACAAGTGTGCCTCCATGCAGAATTAAATCTGCTTTAGGGCGGGTTCCCAGTCTATGGTGTTGCAAATCCAACTGTGGAAAGAATTAAATCTGTTATGCAAAGAATAGGTAGCTCTAAAGGTGGCGTGGGTAGACCCGTCTTTTGGCACAACATGAGAGAAGAACCTGTTATTTACATTAATGGAAAGCCCTTTCTGCTTCGTGAGGTTGAAAGACCCTACAAAAACATGCTCGAGTATACGGTATATAATAATAATCCTCTCTCATTTTTAATGTTTATTATTTAAATATACTCAAGTGTCATGTGGTTTAATGTAGGGAATTGACTGTGAAAGAGTGGAGAGAATGGAAGCTCGATTGAAAGAAGATATTCTCAAAGAATCTGAATGTTATGGATGTAAGGTATCTACCTGATACCTTGCTGCAACCTTGTTGCCTAAAAACAGAAAACAAAACAGAACAGGAAGGAAAGAAGGAAAAAAAAACTGCACAGCTGGCAACAGGTGATAACAGGGGAAGAAAAAAAATGGGATTTTTGATTTTGCTTGGTGGAAAAGAAAACTTTTATTGCTGAAAAACTTCTTTCTAAATACCTATAACGTAGCATATTTATACTAAAAGAAAAAGAGTTTGACTCATAGTCTAAAACCGGGAAACAAAAATAATAAAAGCATTTTTCCTAAAATGCCCCTGTGGGCTTTTTCCTGAATTACGCCAACAATGGAGGTGATATTATGGCAATTCACGAACTACAATCATATTTTAATACAAAAACTTAATTAAATTGGAACTTTCCCAAAATACCCCTGAGGCTATTTTTGTTCCCGGTGCTCAGTTTGCACAGCGGACGGTATAATGATGGATGGTCAAGCTAAAATTTGGTTTTGATCGAATTTAATCTTGGTATAAAACTGACAGGTTTGATAATGGTAGATGGTCAAGATATAAGAACTTTACAAGTCCATTTGGAATATTACTTTATAGGTAATATTCTCTCTTTATTTCAGAAATCAATGTAAGGAGATGTTTTGTCATAATAGTGCAAAATCACTCTCTGAGTGGGTGTCTACTTCTTACTTCTTCGTATTATTAACTTTTTCATCTTATAATATGTTTGGATGCTGCTACATTTTAATACTGTCTGGAGGATATTATATTTGTTATTTGTGATAATAGCAGTTGGTTTTGTTTGTGATGGGATTGGTGTAAATTTTTGTCTGTTTTGTTGTTTTTCTGGATGATAGGTACCTGAAGCATTGTTGAAAGGTGGATCAGTAGTCTACATGTTATTGCATGTCTTTGTCTTGATGATGATGAAGAGGTAAGGTAAGTAACTCAAAATACTTACCAATCATTTAATTTGATAATATTAGAGATAATGGTAGTATAGCATCAACAGAAAAAGCAGGACATTGATTACCTGCAATTTTCCTCTTGAAACAATGGTGTATGAAAATCTTGATTAATAGATTCTGGTTTACAAGGACCTTTAAGCTTTTTAACTTTGGAATTTGGATTGGTCTGTGATGCGTTGCTAGAAGAAAGAAAAACTAAAGGTAGGTGTTTGTTGGTTAATACTTAATACTTAATACCTGATGAAACTGGAATGGGTAAAAATTAAATAGATGAGTATGATATGGCAGTTGACAAGGTCATGGTCATTGACGGCATAAATAAAAGCATAATAAAATAGGTGTATGTAACATGAGGAGAGAGTGACACGATACAATAATGTGTTAAATAATGCAAACGAGATGAATGTTTTTTTTCTTATACCAAATAACATTGATATTTTATACCATAAGCTGCGGTGCACATTCATCTCTGTGCAAAAAGACATGTATGCCCTCAGTAGCCTGATTCAGTTTGCTGATGCTTTTTTCCTACTTATATCAATTCATCATGGATGTGACCAAGTTCGTAGTTGCTTTTATCAATATGTGCTTATCGTATTGTATTCCCTCTTCCTTGTTTCCACTTTATACCTCATGCTTTTAACTGTAGTTAGGTTATAGCCTTAATCTATACTGTGACATTAAGTTGGTTTAAACTACTAAAACTTATTGGTTATTTTTTCTAATTTACTATTATTTGTAAATTCATTATTATCATTAAAAAAATCAATTTTTTTTTCTGTAGATCATTCATTAACAGAGTTTTCAAGTTTATACCAGAGTGGTCAAGGTCTGTAAGACTAAATACCAAAATCCTTTCCAATGTTTTCTTATATTTTTGTTGTTACTTGTTTTTTTAATTATATTTTTGATCTATTTCAGGTCACAAATTGGAAATTATTGGTGGGACCACTAGTAAAAAGCCAACATTGATCTTTTTGTTTTTTCAATTGTTATAGTTGATGAATATTGTTTGTTGGGTGTGTAAGGGTAAAATGATCATTATTTTTAAAGAGGTTAAGTGGAGAAGCAAATGTTGATCTTCTAATGTTGTTCTTTTACAATGTTGTTCTTTTACAGGTGGTTGGAATTGGACCTAAAGCTGGTTACTGATATAGGAATAGTGGGTGCTCCAAATGCAAGAAAAAGCATGTTTTTAAGTGTTATTAGCGTTGACATGTAGTGTTGTTTGACATGTAATGTTAGGTAAATTGTTTGACATGTGATATTTTTTTGAAATGAATTATCGTTCTTATGTATGGTATTTTATTTTGTATTATGATAATTTCAATCTGTTGTTTAATTTTAAAAATAGTAATTCTATCAAATATATATATATATATATATATATATATATATATATATATATATATAACATTTAAAATTATGACACGCAAATTCGTGTCATCTTCATTTATGACAGGGGATTTAATGATACCCAACGGGTGTCTTAAACGCGCGTCGTAAGGTTACGACACACAAATGCGTGTCGTCTTCTTTTATGACAGAGCCTTCCTTGATACACATTGCGTGTCGTAACAACGTGTCGTAAATGCGTGTCATAAATGCGCGTCATAAATGCGCTTTGTAAATAGACGACGCGCAAAAGCGTGTCGTCTCTCGTTATGACAGGGCCTTCCTTGACACGCATTTGCGCGTCGTCTGAGCGTTTTACGACACGCATTGCGCGTCGTAAAAGGCTGTTTTTCTAGTAGTGGATTGTTCTAAGCAATTGTTTAACAACTTTAGTCATATCTGGTTCTGTTCCCATTTCCATCTTAATGTCCTAGGCATTTGGAAAATATAGAACACATAAATATTATAGCATATGCAATCGATCCTATACCCGAAACATATGGGACACGATTGATAATGTCTTACATAAAGACATGATTTTTTACCACTCTCTCGCTATAATATTTCCATATATAGAATTTCCTTATGTTGAATCATTTCAACATAATATTCATATATGTCATTGACTAAATTTGATTAAAATCTCAATCTAAGCTTTTAGATTTGAAATGAAGTATGAGTTCGTCTCCCTTAATTATAGCAAAACAACTTTTCAAACTCTGCAACTTTGCGAATTGAAACTTTTGTTTTCTATAATTAACATTTCTAACTCGCAACACTTAGCGTAATAATTGTTCTCCCACTAGCATAATAATTACATTCTTATTAGCATAACACTTATGCTCCCACTAGCTTTGACATGTACCCAGAAATAAGCTGGACTTCTAGAAATCAATACTTGTTGACTTTTTACCAAAGTTCAGATTTCTGATACAAGATGCTTCGATAAGACTTTATCTAGTCTTCTCAAACTCATACACCTTTCCTTAGATATCTCACATGTGTGTCTAAACAATTTTAGAACTTACAGCAATAAGTCTCAAATGTTAGACCTTTTTCCATTTCTCACAATTCGAACTATGAAGAGGGATGTCATAATCATAATCGAATTTGAGAATGCAATTAACACAACTGCTATCTATTTAAAATCTACTTAGTGAAAGCGTTTCCTCACAATCATTTTCATGAATTGGAGAGAAACCTTAGTCACTTAGATTTTATGGTGTATGTGTTCCTATCCATGTGAATTTATCATAACCATGGACTGAACTTGTTTAATCTTTATTTCTTGCCATTTGGTAGCATGAGGGTCCTACAATTACTTCCAGGTTGTTGAGCAGCTCACCCCTACAGATCAATGTACTTTCCATTGATCAAGGTGCTTTACCTTATGCATTCAAATGAGAGCTCATAGAAATCACATGCATAGTCAAACTAACTGGAATAGGCACAGAAACAAGAATATGTCAAAACGATATGTTACAAACCTCAAGTCGTGTGCTAGTGATTAACAATAGATTTACTATTGATTAGTTCTTGAACCTTTTCAAGATCTTTAAGACTCCCACTGACCTCTTGACATATAAGATTCTTTGTCAAGAACATTCATTGACACCCAAATATTGAAGAGTTAGTGTGAGACCTTATCAAGACAACACTTCATGTAATTGGTGTTAGTTGGTCTTTGTTTTATCCAAAACATCACAACTACCAATTTCAAATGTGCAAGAATAAGAAACATTTCTATTCCACATTTCATAAGGCATTATAAACCTACTTAAGATATGTCACTCAATGTACAATCTTGGAACGAAGTATGATTCATCTATTTGATTTAACCATTTCAACAATTCCCGATTCCTCTTCTTAGCCATACAAGTGCACTAAGGTGTCCTTAGAGGATCAATTGTGACATGGTTCCATAAACAATAGGATGATCATAAAACATCATACTAAAGTACTCTCATTTCCTTTCAGATTGGAGAAACCTTTATCTTTCTGCCAAATTTGATTCTTCTTAGGTCCTGTTTGTTTACCTCGTATTGCCACTTAATAGGAGGAAAGTCTGAATCTGTATGATTAAGAGTGTTTGTTTACATATTATTTTAGCATCTTAATCTGAAAAATATCACTTATTCGGTTAGACATCTCATCACATCTGAAAGAGAAAAAAAAAGATGTCTTCCCTTTTTGCCCTAGCCCAGTTCCTTCCCCGGTTCTCTTTTTGCATCCAACGAACACCAGTCTCCACCCCTCCCTCTCTTCTTCCTGCATCTCCGACGTCTCAGAAGCAGGGGAGAAAATCAACTCCTGCACACCATCGTCTCCGCCTTCTGTTCTTGGTAATCTTTTTCAGAAATTGGTGTTCTTTTTTTGATTTTCTTCTTGAAATAGCCGCCATCTAGCCCCCATCTACTCTAATCGGAATTGCGGGTCAAAAATAGGACAAGAACATGGATACTCTTCTTCTCCTTCTTGCCCCTGTACTGTATTTTTAATCAAAGAGACGGATCAACAAGGATTTATGTGATGGAGATGATCGATGGAATTAATGATGAAAATTTTTGTATATGGTGGGTTTAGTAGAGGCAATCAACCAAAATCCACACTTTCTTTGCTTCAATTTGATGACAGGTTGATGAATAAGGTTGGGGAATAGAACTTGTGTTATAACATCGACGTCTTTTAATAGGTATTTGTGGTAGTTTACAGGTTCCATTAATTGCATATTGATATCAACAATCTTGGATCAAATGGATACTGACAATCAAATTGGTAAACCCATGGTCAAGGGGTCAACATTGGATTCCAATATCATACTTTGGAGCTGAGTTTGATCTTTTTCTTCTTTTTGTTACTTATATTATTGTCAAATCATGAATTTTTTAAACTTTTGGAAGTTACTTGATAGAATTAAATAACGAGATGAAACTGATAGGCATGGTTTGATTTGGATTTGTGTTTACATTTGAATTTAACAAAAAATTATACATAAGGGTAAAATGGTCATTTTTACAATTCAGCACAACAATTCAGATGTTCAACCAAACAACATGTTAAAATTCAGTTCTTAAAAATTCAGACCCTCTTAGAAATTCAGACCTCTTAAAAATTCAAATCTTAAAAATTCAGATCCTGCCAAACACCCCCTTATTCGTTCTGTTATACTTTGAATCTTTTCAAAGTATCAGAATTATACTTAATCTTGTAAGCATAATCATATTTACTGAGCTTTCAGTAAATCATGACAAATAGACTTTATCGTCCTTTGTGGTGGATCTGACCAGTTCACATAAATGTGTACTATATCCTTTTATCTTTCACTTGACTTACATACTTATGTAAACAAGGAATTAGTCGCAATTTTCCTGAGTACCAAGATTTTCATACATCACATGATTCAAATCATATGATTCCAAGTTTTTGTCCAATTGAAAATTGGGCGATGAGAATCTTTCCTTACTTAGAAAATTACGACACTACCACAATTGATATAGCTAAGAATCAAACCATTATGAACATTGCTATTAATAGAAACATATAAACAACAATTTTCACAAATGCCATTGCAAGGAAACTTATAATAAGATAACATCAAAATTTCTTTATTTACTAAAAGGTGTGGAAAACTCGTCCTTACAATGCAATTACAAATGAAAACTATGTTGCTATCTATTCCTAAGTAATCTATCATAACTCTTAAGTAGCAGCTCAAAAATCTGATCGTCGCACCATGCGATCGAAATCCATCTCTTTGCGATCAGACTCAACTTACTTTTCCTTTAAGCTTTCTTTCTTATCTTTGATCATACAAAACATCAAAACATAATCTTATCACATCATGTATTTAAGAATCTTATAAATAGGAACTTAATAGAGTTAGATAATAGATTTACCTGAAGTAGAGTCATACATTTTGACTTTACCATCCTTGCGATCCTTTAGGTAGATATGACAGCTTCGCAACCAATGCCTTCTCTTGGCAATAGAAACAAACACACTCTCTTGGAATGGTACACGGGACAATCTCATACTTAGTGCTTGTGCGTTGGAAACATATGAATGAGCCAAACCTCACCTTGGAGACAGAAAGTGACATGATGAGTCGCTATCCACATCTGTTTACTGATGCATGATTCTGGGACGGAATCATCCTAAGGGTGAGAGAATTGTAACGCACGTGTTTCTGGGCTACGCATTAGTATAATGATTTAATAGTCAAGGTCAACCATTGTAACTCATTTTAAAGTAATAAAGAAGAATTATTTGAATATTATGTGAATTATGTGATTTTATGTGCTTATATACTTGTTTATAAAGATATAATAAAAATAAGCATCACAAATAAAATATAGATAAACCCGATATATATAAAGAAAGATGTAGTGGTCGTGACAAGGATTTCGGAGATATAAAGAACGCCGAAATCCGAGTTATAACGAAGAAGTTATGGTCTGTCGAAGTTTCGCGACAAAACCCGCACGACACTGCGTGACGTAAAAAGTGAGTTTACGATAAAGTACTTTTTAGCCTTAGCAATCTAAACGAAAGTCGTAGCGTATGTTAAATCGAGAGCGTGCATAAAAAGAACGCCCAAATTTGACTTCGTATAAGGAAGTTATGATTTTTCCAAGTTTCGGCTTAGCAGTATGCAGCCCGAAGTTCGAATAATTAGATTGACCGATTTTTAGCCGGCATAACCTAAATGAGAATCAAAGTTCTCGTTAATAGTAGTTCAACGGTAAAAAGACGGACGAAAACGGACGTCGAATGAAGAAGTTATGAATTTTTAACGGATTTTTCCTTTCTCGGCATGTTAAAAATATA